TATTGTTTCCCAGAGGACGCTGATTTTACTGCAAAAAACATGGCTTCAATTTGCTTCAAAGATAGAGGCGCTTCAGCCACAATCACACTCAGGACATTCTAGCTTAAGAGGGAGATGAAGGGCAGAACAACGCCTGCCGGGTTTCGCTAGTTTACTACATATACGAACAAGATTTACTCATTGTTTCATTGCCATAGCCCAACAATAAGTTTTTCTGTCAAAAAATCGCCGTTTTTTCCTGCAGCGTAACAATACTTTCTCTATATTGTATAAGGATTAGGCAAGAAATTTAAAATTCTTTCTTAAACTGCGAAATAATCGAAATGTTTATTTAATTTCATTGCCTAAAAATCTGCGTTGACGTAAGTATTTCTTCAAATTGCGAAATAGATAAATCAGAGTGGGTTATGCTAGGCCGTGAAGTGGACCTAGTTCCTGGAAGTTGCAGTCCGAATTCCAAGTGCTTCTTTCACCGACTTGTGAACAGGAGCGTTGTCCTGGAGGAGCAGAACTTCGTGACTTGAGTTTTCCGCGTGTCTTTCCCTTGCTTGTTTCAAGTTTATCAAATCACCTTCATAATAGTCTCCTGTTAGTCTTGTTGTTTAGAAGATGGTCAATGAAAAATGAGTCTTCCTTATCACAAAACATGGTCGCCACGAATTTGCATGGCTGCATTCGAAGTGCATGGCCTTGATGGCTGCATTCGAAGTGATTTGGTTGAATGGATTCTGTTTTGATTCTGGATCCCAGAGAACCTACGTTTCATCACCGGTCACTTTTCGAGGCAAGGATTGTTCTGGATTGTTATTAAACAAGTAGAGAGATTTCTCTATAGAAATCCGAACTCTCGCGATCTTTTGTGGTGCCATCAGGCACCTATCGCGCGTTAATTTTTGACATGCCCAATTCCACTTTAAAGCACGTCCATCATTGTTTGGCAATTTGACATATCTTTTACACGGCGATCTTCAGTTACAAAACTCTCCATTTTTGCAATAATTTCGTAAGTTTCCCGCTCGAGTATCATTCTGGATAGAAGAGCGACCCCACTTGAACTGTGTGGATCAGAATTTCACCAAGGAGGGCGAGGGAGATGCTTCACCTACGCACTCACTACACGATCGTGAATAATGTTCCGTCCGTTGCCTCACCGTTTAAAATTCAATTACCGTGCAGGATTCAAACTCAAATTCTCCATACTACTTTTGGCACACCTCGTGTAAAGAATCGTATCTCCTGAGCTACTAGGGCTTCTAGTTATTGCCGATCTCTTCCCAACACGCATAGGCTAGCGCATTCTTGCAACTGCGTGCCTTCTGTGTGCTAGGTAGATTAAAAAGCTCACTCCGTATCCATGTATCCGTCATGTTTTGCCGTTTCGTACTTTGTAGCATAGTTTTGAATTCAACATGTTAAATTGTACTAATTTTTCCAAATACGATTGACTGAGCAACTTTCCTTAGTGCGTTTCTTATAAGGAAGAATGTATTTTGAATTATTCTTTCCCCATTTGGGGCAGCAGATTCGTTTTGATAGTATGGCGTCGTCGTGATAAGAGTACATACATGGAATTAGACTACAGACGAACAGTAGAACACAGACATGGAGTTACTATTTTAGATTTATTTACAGTACTTCAATATACATACAATAGACTGTCCAACTCCCAAGGAATACTTTTGCCACTTCACTCGCATCCTCCAACCCCTGAGGCGGCCGCCCTAGCCAGCGACTAGAGAACCCGGCGTGTGAGAACACTTGCATTGCCCGTGGCGAAAGCCGCATCTCGCGATTACACGCATCTACCCCGAAATTCATCTCAAACGCGAATGCCCCCGGCTCTCTCCTCCCCTAGCTTACATCGCAGGGAATCACGTGACAGTCTCCCATTGCCTACACACGCTAAGACCGCCTCATCTCGTTACGGAGTTTTGGCGCCCGCCGGCCAGCTGCATTCCGAGGCTGTCAACACGCATCACCCCCCCCCCTGCGCTAGCTGACGCCCGCGTTTCAACACTCCCCCCCCCCCCTAGCCCGCACCCTTCAAGAGGCCTCGGAGCTTTGGTTGCCACAGTGAGCCAACCCTCCCCCTCGCCAGCCGCAATCCTTTTGCGTGTCCTTACCGAGCAAAGTGCTATGACGTTACAGTGGTATTAGTAAGAAATTTAACAGCCCCCTCTCTTTTTGCCGCTTGAAAAAAAGGGAGCTTAAAACATTGTGTGCAAATATGGATGGTACATATGCAATCTGGAAGCAAAACGATGGATTTTCTCAGCATTTGCTCGATGTATAAAGGGAATTGGACGAAATTCTTGATTGAGGTAGGGGTCTGGTTGCGTAGGCTTAGGAGGTAGGGGTCATTGATCCATGGATTAAAACTGATGCTTATCACAGTATTTTAGAAATACACAATATAGAAGGGAACCTGTGTTAATATCCTTGTCAAAGTAAATAGTGTTTTCATTTTTTTGTACTTGCAGGGAAAGTATGAGAGCCTTGTTGAAATACTCCTTGATATTTTGATTTTATTTCTGTGTATATGTTTAATACCTGACTCCCCTCCCCCCTTCCTCGTGACTATTTGAAGAATTGTACTCCATTTGTGCTCCCCACGTCATCATGATCTGTAAATAATTGAACATAAAATCAAATGTATTTTTTACTTGTATCATTAAAGTTATAATTTCATTCACTTTCCATGTTTTATTTATGTATTTATTTATAAATGACATATTTTACTAATAAGTCAAATGGGAAAAGGAGCCAAGAAGTTGCCTCCCCCTTTTTGTTTTAGGCTGTGGATGCATATGTTAAAATTGTTTCTGGGTTCATTCTCAATAAATACAAATTCAATAGCCACATTGTTCATTGTTGTTGGTGTTTTGTTGTTCAAAAGTAATATTTGATGAGTGCTTCCAATGCAGGTCGCTTTTCTGTTGTTTACGTGGTAATAAACAGACTATTTTATCATATTCCTGAAACAAGGGTATGGAAGCTGAAAATTGATGGACTGTGATTGAAGTATTGTCTCTCTGTTAGAAATGTTTGTGTTAACAATCTTGTGAGGTACAACTTTTCGGAAAAGAAGTGATATAAGAAGCTTTCAGAAGAAGAATCAAGGTGTTGGATTTTACCCAAAATTCCAGGTGGTATCTGACCTGGAGCAATTCATTAGCTTTGCTTGGAAGAATATCTTCAATACAAATCTTATCATTGTACATGTTTAATGAATCAAAAATCTGATTACATAATTTTCTTCTCATACAAATGGTAAGAATATACCTTGACACTACTGTTTCAACTCCACCTTTCCCATTTTCCTGATTTTTTCAGCAGTGACAAGGTTTTATCCTGAAACATTATTTTGGACTAAAGGACCCAAACATCCTCTTGATTCCTGCAGCATTATAAATAGTTTTGGTTTGAAGATATCCACACTTATTTCAGGCATTATAGTTATGGACTTGTATAGTTAATGCACTAACTAATTGGGCCACTGTTTGGGTGTTTTTTTGCCAACAAGACAAAGAATACGGACTGATCTGAGAAAACTGGTCTGTTAGTATAAAAGAGGCAGAGAAAGAATTGCTCACACATTGGGGACTTTGATGAACTAGCTAGAAATGAATTACTGCATAGTGTCTGCAAAATATAATTTAGAATTAAGAGTTCAGTGTTATGAAGAAAGAATTTAGGACATGCATGAAGCTGTAAAAAATTAACCATTTGTCACAGTTTATCTGCTGTTTATTTGCAAGTTTATGTTTGGTACCTAACCAATATCTTTAAAACCGTCTCTGTCTGTTGAAATCAAAATTACAGCTAGAGATCTAAGGCTACATGGATTGTTTCTTGCATTTTTCTAACTTCTGTTTCCATTAAAGAGATGATGGAATTTAAAACCCACTGACCAAAAATTTAAAATTTATTGAGGGAACTTACTTGATACTAGAGAATGAAAAGAGATATTTATCTTCTTATTTTGAAACAGAGGTTGATTGATAGTCTTTTCTTTTTTTACTTCCCTCAGCAAAACAAATTCTCCTCAAGTTTTTCTTGTAGGGCCATATATTTCCTTGAATTTTTCTTGTTGAAGTATCCAATAAAGTTGGCATCACCGATTTAAGTACAAAATACAAAGTATAACAATGTTTCTCATTTAAATATTATTAAAAATCAACAATTTCCAGATTGATGAATGTTTCTTATATTATTACAATGAAACAAATTCCATTTGTTATGTTATAGAAAAGATTGTGATTGAATAACATCTGTTTTGCAATAAGCAAGTCTTTACTTCCATTTTTGAAAATGGATTACATGTAATAATATTATTGATGCTGTTTATACCATGATCTGAAGAACGTGATTATTGGTATTGTGTGTGATTCTGTTTCTTAATATTTGTATTGCATGAAAATAAATGCTCTGTTGAATAAGTCAGTTTAAAAAATTGAATAAATCTGGTTTTTAAACCAGAAGCATGTTTTCAGCAGAGTTTCAAGGCTTGCAAAATCATATAATTTAACTTATTTACACAATGTTTTGATTAGATTTGCTAGTGATGTGCGAAATATTTCTGGAGGATAATATTTTAAGCATGAATCTAATCTCAAAATTTACACAAGGTGAACAGAAGTTGACTTAATTTGAGAGAATTCTGAAAGCAAACATGTCATTCATATTGTGGTTGACCATACATTCCTAAAGCATAAATTAAAAATTAAAAGGTTGCAAAATAAAGTATTGAGAAAGTGGTTCAGTGTCTCAGTTTTGAATTATTTGTGTTCACTGTTCATTTCAAAATATTTCATGTGTGTGTGTGAGTGAGTGTAAATACCATTACTATTAAAATCAAAGCCATAGTGAATTTCAGCCATAGTTCATTTAGAAGTAGTGAATGCATTGCTGTTGTCATTACTATGTGAGGAGTTGGATGAATGCCCTGTGTAGTTGTCTTGTTATTTGGTCTAGGTTGTGTTCTATCTTTCTTGTTGTAGATGCAATCTGTGAATACTTTGGGGTGAAGATTACCATGTATTTTGCGTGGCTGGGTCACTACACTGCTGCTCTCATAGTGCCAGCTGTTGTTGGGTTTATTTTCTGGGTAAGGTAACTTACCCCAGTCTCTCTTGAATGATCATGCATGATCTTGCGAAAGTTCCATGTTTGTAAACTAGAAGTAGATTATACGGAAAAACTGTCAATAGTGAACAAATCTTCAAACTTTCGGAAATCTTCCCTTTCCTGGTCAGTATCAATTAGGCTTTTCTCTTGAATGAATGCATGTTCTGTCTCTTTGTATATAATGTGTAGTGATTATGTGATCAAAGATATCAGTAGCAGAACTATTACATGTAAATCTGTGTATATATGTCAGCATGAGCATGTACATGTTCCTGTTTTGTGAAAGAAGGTGTGTGGAATTATGCTGTGTTTAGTGTTGTAGATTTTTGTTCTTAGATTGTAAAAATGTAATTGAGTAATATACTTTTTAATTACTGAATTATTTTAGTTGTGTTCATTGGCACTGATGTGAACTTTTCTTTGATTTGAATTGGAAGTTAATAAAATGTTAACACAAAATGTGTTAAGTATTTGAAGGATTTTAAAATAAATCAATGTATATCATCTTTGGTATGTGACTAAACTATAATCAAATAAAGGGTTTTAAAACATTTGGTTCTGGGTAAAGTGAAAATTTCTGGGTAAAGTTGTGACTACAACTTCTCAATAGTTTGCCTTCTTTGGATCTTTGGTTCTGAGAACAAGAATACTATTTAGAAAGTGACCTAAGAGTAATACTGTTTTCTTTTAATGTTCCTGTGCAATTACAATTAGGTGACAGGATCTGTTAATTTAAACCTATTGTTGGTCTTCAAATTAAAATAAAGTGAAATTAAACAGAATGGTTAAGTTGTCTGGCATTCATATAAATTAAAGTGGAATATGTTATGTAACCAATGTTGTGAATAATAGAGCACTCTCTTTAAGATAGCTGATTTCGTGTTTCAATATTTGTTCGTACAGAGCTCTAAAATGTAAAATTAAAAACTGTGAGAGAGCAATTCAAGGGTAACCAATACTTAAAAAAGGATTCATAGCAACATTTAATATCCATATTTTTTCTTTATGAAAAAATTCTGGTAAGCAACTGGGAAAAATATTCCATTTCTCTCCATTTTAAAATCGGGTATAGAAAGAAAATTAAGTTTCCTTTCTTCATCTACTTCGACCTCTTCTACTTCTATTCCACATCCTCTTCCTTCTATTCCTCCTCCACCTCTTCCTCTTCTTTTTCCTCCCCTTCTTCCACATCCTCGTCTGCCTGTTTATCTTCCTCATGCTCTTTCTCTTCTTTTTTTCCTCTATATCATGTTCCTCTTCCCCCTTTTCGTCTTCATCGTGCTTTCATCTCTTCCACCTTCCTCTACCTCCTCTTCATCTTATCTTCGTGCTCTTGCTCTTCCTCGCACACTTCCTCGCCCTCCTCTTCCTCGCCGCCCTCTTCCTAGCCCTCCTCTTCCTCGCCCTTCTCTTCCTCGCCCTTCCCTTCCTCGCCCTTCTCTTCCTCGCCCTTCTCTTCCTCGCCCTTCTCTTCCTCGCCCTTCTCTTCCTCGCCCTCCTCTTCCTCGCCCTCCTCTTCCTCGCCCTCCTCTTCCTCGCCCTCCTCGCTCTCCTCGCTCACCTCGCTCTCCTCTTCCTCGCCTTCATCTGCCTCGTCCTTCTGGTCTGCCTCGTCCTTCTGGTCTGCCTCGTTCTTCTGGTCTGCCTCGTTCTTCTGGTCTGCCTCGTCCTTCTGGTCTGCCTCGTCCTTCTGGTCTGCCTCGTCCTTCTGGTCTGCCTCGTCCTTCTGGTCTCCCTCGTCCTTCTGGTCTCCCTCGCCCTCCTGGTCTCCCTCGCCCTCCTGGTCTCCCTCGCCCTCCTGGTCTCCTCGCCCTCTGGTCTTGCCGTCCGCCGCCTTCCTGGTCTCCCTCGCCCTGGTCCCTCGCCCTTGTCTCCCTCGCCTCCTGGTCTCCCTCGCCCTCCTGGTCTCCCTCGCCCTCGGTCTGCCGTCCCTCGCCCTCCTGGTCTCCCTCGCCGCTCCTGGTCTCCCTCGCCTCCTGGTCTCCCCTCGCCCTCCTGGTCTCCCTCGCCTCCTGGTCTCCCTCGCCCTCCTGGTCCGCCCTCCTGCTCCTCCCTCGGTCATCTCGCCCTCGCTGGTCTCCTCGCCCTCCTGAGCCTTCCTACGCCCTCGCTGTCCTCGCCCTCCTCGTCTTCCTCGCCCTGCGCCTCTCTTCCTCGCTCCTCGCCCTCTTGCTCTTCCTCGCCCTCGTCGTCTTCCTCGCCCTCGTCGTCTTCCTCGCCCTCGTGTCTTCCTCGCCCTCGTCGTCTTCCTCGCCCTCCGTCGTCTTCCTCCTGTCTCCCTCGCCCTCGTCGTCTTCCTCGCCCTCGTCTGCTTCCTCGCCCTCGTCGTCTTCTCGCCCTCGTCGTCCCTCGCCCTCGTCGTCTTCCTCGCCCTCGTGTCTTCCTCGCCCTCGTCGTCGTTCCTCGCCCTCGTCGTCTTCCTCGCCCTCGTCGTCTTCCTCGCCCTCGTCGCTTCCTCGCCCTCGTCGCTCCTCCCCTGCCCTCGTCGTCTCTCTCGCTCCTCGGTCGTCGTTCCTCGCCCTCGTCGTCTTCCTCGCCCTCGTCGTCTTCCTCGCCCTCGTCGTCTTCCTCGCCCTCGTCGTCTTCCTCGCCCTCGTCGTCTTCCTCGCCCTCGTCGTCTTCCTCGCCCTCGTCGTCTTCCTCGCCCTCGTCGTCCTTCCCCCCTGTCGTCTTCCTCGCTCTCGGTCGTCTTCCTCGCTCTCGTTCGTCTTCTCGCTCCTCGTCTCTTCCTCGGCCCTCCGTCGTCTTCCTCGCCCTCGTTCGTCTTCCTCCCCTCGTCCGTCTTCCCTCGCCCTCCGTCGTCTTTCCTCCGCCCCTGTCGTCCCGCTCTCTCGTCTCCTCGCCTCTCGTCTTCCTCGCTCTCGTCGTCTTTCCTCGCCCTCGCGTCCTTCTTCGCTTCCATCGGTCGTCGTCAGTCTCCGTTCGCCTCTCGCGATCTTCCTCGTCGTCCGTCTTCCTCGCCCTCGTCGTCTCCTCGCGCCGTCGTCGTCTTCCTCGGCCCTCGTCGTCTTTCTCCTCCTCCTCCTCCTCCTCGTCGTCTTTCTCCTTCCTCCTCTCCTCCTCGTGCGTCTTCTACTCTCTCCTTCCTCTCGCGTCTTTCTCCTCCTCCCCTCCTCCTCGTCGTTCTTTCTCGCTCTCCTCCTCCTCCTCGTCGTCTTTTCTCTCCTCCTCTCTCTCACTCCTCGCCTCGTCGTCTTGTCTTCTTACCTCCTCCTCCTCTCTCAGCCTCCTGTTCCTCTGTTCGTCTTTCATCACTCGCTGCCTCCTCTCTGCCTCCCCTCTGCCTTGCTCGGCTCACGGGGTCGGTCGTCTTTCTCGCTGTCCTCTGCCTCCTCCTCGGTCGTCTGTCTTTCCTCCCTCCGCATCTTGCTTAACTACTCCTGCCTCCTCCATCCGCCTATCTGTTACTCCTCCCTCTCTCCTGCTTCTCCTGCCCTCGCTGCTCGGTGTCGGAGTTGCCCCTCCTCGTCGACTTCCTCCTCCTATAATACTCTGAAATGCCTAAAGTCATGTGATACCTCCTAATATCCTATCGGACCTCCTTTGCCCAGCACATTGCAGGAACTCGAGGCATGTCATGGACTCGAAGTCCTTGGATGTCCTCTGTAGAAATATAGAGCCATGCTGCCTCTACAATCATCCATATTAGGAAAGTGTTGCTGGTGGAGGATTTTGTGTACACACTGACCTCTTGATTATGTTTCATAAATTTTTGCTGAGATTCATGTCAGGTGGTGTGGGTGGCCAATTCACTTGTCTTGAATTGCCCAGATTGTTCTGCAAACTCATTGGGAACAATTGTGGCCTGGTGACATGGTGCATTGTCATCCATAAAAATTCCATCATTACTTAGGTACATGAAGTGCATGGATGGCTGCTAGTGGTTTCCATGTAGCGTAACATAACCATTTCCAGTCAACTATCAGTTCCGTTTTACCAGTGTAAAAATAGCCCCCACACCGTTATGAAGCCACCACTAGCTTGTAACAGTGGCTTGTTGACAATTTGGGTCCTTACCATTAGCTCTTAGTAATTGAAACTGGGTCTCGTATGATCAAGCCATGGTTTTCCATTCATCTAGTGAGTCCAATTGATAAGATCATGAGCCCAGGAAAGCTGCTGCAGGTGATGTCTTGCTGTTAGCAAAGGCACTCGAGTCAATCTTCTGCTGCCATAGCCCATTAAATCCAAATTTCGCTACACTGTCTTAATGGATATAGTGTTTGTATGCTGATATCATTGCTTTCTGCGGTTCTCACACAGTGTTGCTTCACTATCAGCACTGACAATCCTACACAAACTTTGCTGCTCCCAGTCACGAAGTGAAGGCTGTCAGCAACTTCATTGTTCATGGTGGGATGTTATGCCTGAAATTACGTATTCTTAGCACATTTTTGACGTTGTGGATCTTGGAATATTGAATTTCCTAACGATTTCTGAAGTGGAATGTGTCATACAACTAGCTCCAACTACCATTCCACGTTCAGTCTGTTAATTCCCATCCTGTAGCCATAATCACATCAGAAATTCTATTCACATGAATCACTTGAGTACAAATGAAAGCTTTTCCCTTGCACTGCCCTTTTGTACCTTTTGTATGTAATACTACTGCCATCTGTATATTTACATATTGCTAGTCTGTGACTTTTGTCACTTCTGTGTTTATAAATTTATAAAATAGGTATAAATAGATCTTAGACAGAAGAACTTGTAATCTCTCTGCAGGAACTGAATAGATTGTGTTAAAATAGTGTACATCATGACAATTAAACCAAAAAATATTTCCTATTTTGGAGAGCATTTGGGAATCCACAAACAAGAGTTTTGTGGACACTTCTTTGAGAACCACTGCTTCTAAAGCATGAAAACTTATCTGAGAACAGAGGTGTTGTTGATGTATTGACTTATTTAATATCAACAAAATAACAGTCAGATTAACATGAGAACAATAAAATGAAGCATTACTCTTTGTCAATATTAGTGTGTATAATTGTTTAAAAATTCCTATTAGGTTTAGCAGGAAACAGTCAATCCGAAAAGGCACCAAGTGATTTATTGTAAAGTAATTTTAAATCTAAACTTGTCGGAGTTTACAATTTATTCAAGCATTTTAGATTGCTGCCAAATCAAAAATCACCACATCAAGGAAGAAACATTCAAAACAATTTATTTGTTTTTCTATGAATCTTGGGCAGAAAACCGAAGACACTTACGCCATTTTAATTTAATCTCTTTGCTAATCAATAAAATGTACTTATTTCTGAGAATTATGAATGCAGTGAACTTGTAGCACAATTAAGGGCTTTTTGAAACCCTGTGTGAGCTTCATTCAAAGAAATCCTAAATACCAAATATATTAGTTCATTTTGTATTGCAACTAATTTTAAACGATTCTTTTATATTAATACAATTGTTTGCTTTTTTTAACAGGTTGGCTTCTGTGGTCGTGACCAAGCAACTGAGGATGTAGGCTATGTTTTGTTTTCATTTTTTAATGTAATATGGGCCACAGTATATGTGGAAGCCTGGAAGAGGTATAGTGCTGAATTAGCTTATCGGTGGGGCACTTTGGATCAAAGGGATGAGTTGCTTGTAGAACCTCGGCCATTGTTCACGGTAAATCTACCATATAATTCTATGTACTACTATGTTAATTTAAACCAGAACTAATTCTTCTGATCCTGTTTTTGCAGGGTACATTGGAAGTAAGTCCTGTCACTGGGAGACTGGAACCAACATACCCTCCATGGAAGAGAACAGCATTTCGCTACTTTGTTAGCCTGCCAATAATATTATTATGTTTGGCACTCGTTTTTGTGATAATGTTTTTTACCCTCCAATTGCAGGTTTGTTAAGTTTTTGCTTTAAAAGAGTAATGCATCTAGGACAATTTTTCACTTGGTCATTTTCATTTAGGAATGGTGGGATCATCTGATAGCTGAACAAGAATATATGTTCTGTTTGAGCTACTTGCCCAAGATCCTTCTTGCCATTGTTATTACGCTTATGGATGAGGCGTATTTTAAAGTTGCTTGTTGGCTGAATGATATTGGTAAGTTTATAGTGTAGAATATATAGATACCAATGCAGATGGACTTTCTTGTAGATTGTGTAGTGGATTAGAGTTATCACATCTGAAATTGATTTTGTCTGTTAATTAAGATACATGGATAGTGCCGTAAGTGATTCGGATTTAAGTTATTCTAGAACTCTAGAATACAAGTATGTATATTCTAGCCTTATAGAAAACTTAAAAGAAATATACCCTCGGAAGATAGTACTCAATGTGGTACTTTGTTTACTTTTTATTTGAAAGTCAGAAGATGCATGCTATTTATGCTCTATTTGTGGCTGTTTGTCATCTACACTATATATTGTGGTTAACTAATGGTGGAATAATGTGTGTTTCTTTAATAAAACATGAATTTTGAGAGGCGTGACTAATATAATTGAGCCAGTATGTATCGGCATGCACTGTGTTGATACACACATAAGATATAATTCTGTCCTAATTATTCTGGTCTCTTTTTCAAATTATTATTCTTTTTTTTTTATTTTGATCCTATGTTGTATACTCTTAACCGCAGCTGAGATCATGTATACTCTCACCGCGGATGAGATTATCTCTGATTTGTTGGATTCATTTCCGTCCCAAGTAGAAGAATAAATACTAAAATACTGGAAAAATTCAATAATGGCCCTGTAAAACAAAATAAATACTCATGTCAAATGCAACCCACAACACTGCAATATTTTTTGAATCTATACCATTAAATAACTCCTAAATGAAGCATTCTAGGGCATTGAAAACTAAAATTTTGAGGCCAAATACCTCAATGAGGGAAGGGTGAGGAGGAGGGAGGAGATGAAGAGCAGAATACGTCTGCTGTGTTCCGCTAGTTTTTAGATAAATGATTATTCAAAAACATGAAGTTAAACTAATGAATTGTTTGTATGCTCAGAAACATTTAAAACAAAATCACTATGGTAGAGATGGTATTGTTTATGAAATTTTTCTGAAATATATTATTAAATATCCTCAACAGTGTTTTAGAAAACTGTAGATTGTTTCCTCAAAAGCCACACCAATGTTTTTCTTTGACCTTTCTCCTCGTATGAAACGAATGTTAAAAAATATGGTGTTATTCTCATTTTCGGCAAACTCTCCATATTTTCAAAAATTGTATGCTGGAAATATTGGATTGAGACAATTACATTAATAAGCTTTGGCCAGAGTTCCAATCGTACCGTTCTTCTGTAGTGTAGTGGTATGGCTGAAGTTGAGTTAACTTGGAAGACCTGAGTTTGAGACTTGTTGTGGAAAATAATTTTTGCTGGCTGATAACTTTTGCGTATTTGTTTAGTAGTATAATATTGTGGAGTACTTAGAAATAATGCAAGAAAGTATGTACTGACAAAGCATCACTATTTATTTATTTTTTAATTTTTTTTCTTTTAGCTAAATTGGGGGGGGGGGGGAAGAAAAAAATGTTTTGAGACGTTAATCAACATTGCAAGGGCTATAAATCAGAACGAATAAAAATATTAATTTTAATACTTCAGGCAAAGAATCGTGAATGATTGTGGTTTATTAAAGTTCATTGTGCTAATGTTTACTTGAGTGAAAACATCCTTACACAATTTTGAAATTTAAGATAAAAGATGTACTTAGCAAATTAATTTTTTTATCACATTTCATCTTATCGAGAAATTCTTTTGCAGATAATTTTGGATATTGCTCATAGTTGTGTGTATTTTTCTGTTATCTAAACTATTAAAATATTTTCACAGTAAAATGATATGTGAATGAAATATGTTTTGCATGAAAGCATGAGAAATTTCTGATATTTGATATTGAAACACAGGCAACATGCATAATAGTACATGCAGAAATTCCACTTATTTATTTCACAGTTTGTTTCAATTGGCACCAATTTTTTTTTACTCATGATATTGCAGACTGTACTGAAGCGTAAAAAGAAAATATGTTCGTTCATAAATGTTACAGCTTGGCCTGACTGCAGTTGTTTCTTTCTATCTTGGCCCATGAATATACAAACACGTTCCTGTACTGTAAACATGGAGTTGTCTGGAGTTTTTCTTGCAACAGTTTTTCTCTTTTCCTATGAATCACAACTACCTATTGTCTTGATTCTAAGCTTTTACAGTATTCTCTCATTACCAATCTTGGTAGAGACCAGGTCATGAGATTTTATATTTTCTGGTGCACATTCAGGTTGTTGTAGTATTGCATATTTTGTTTTTTAATGTAAATGGCGAGTTTGTATTTCAGAAACCTTGCTTTTTTGGTACCAAGATTACATCTGGTTGGCTATTGTTAAAGGAACTTTTGTTTTAATATGACAACTCTACAAGTTTAAGATTAACCTTGAGAATATTACCAAAACTCTTCCAAGATTATAATAATATTGTCATATTGCATGTGTAAATCTGTGTTATAGTATGAAAGCAAATACAATTATTGGTAATGTTCTCAAGAGATTCACCTGATGACCAGTTACTTCTATTGCACTCAAGATTCAAATATAACAAAACTATTATTCTAGGAAATTTTATCTTACATTTCTAGCAAATTTTATTTTTTCAGTAGATGGAGACATTCTAAATGATTTTGGTGTTCCTGAATGCTAGTGTCGATCTAGCTGAGATAGCTAAAGCATTGTTTGCTTCTGGATAGAGTGTATTCATGACTTGCATTGATTCGAATCTTCTTCTACAATCATGCTTAGGTGCTATATAACTTTGGTAAAGTTAGAGAGAGGGGCCGATGTAAAGCAAAATTGACAGGACATATGGAGTTAAGGGCGGGAGGTTTTGCTACTCCTAGAAAAATAATGCTAATATAACCAATGACTGGCGCTTTGAATTGCTCGAGTAGTATAGTTTAACCACATAACTATGAATTGGCACTAGAAGTTGCAAAAACATGCTAATTGAGAGCCCCAATAATGACTCCACGTCCATTATGATGTGAGCTCAGTGTGCACGGAATTATTTTTTATGATAATGGGTTTAAAGAGAAATCAATCTTTGCGCACAGCGATGGTGTAACAGTTAGTGTATTGGACTGTTATACCCAAGTTGGATGTAAAACCGGCTGGCCCACGTTAGTAGACTAACTTGCATGTAAAAGATCCTCAAGCCTAAATAACGCCTCTGTGCTAAATTCAAATCGCCTGTTTCTCGCCCAAGAAATACCTCCTTTCTCTGCTAGTTAGTGAAAGGAGCATAGCGAAATTTGTGTGGTCAGACAGACGAGCAGGCCTCATGGCCCGAGTCTCACATAAGGCATTAATTCAATTCAATCTTTTTAGTTGTAGAATTGATATTTATATCTTATATTTATAATTTGCATTTGGTTTGAAGTATAATATGAATATTTATGTAACTTTTGAAAAATTATTCAAACCAAAATTGGTTTGATTAATTAAAAATATTTTAATTGATGATACAAATGCATTCTAACTTATTAAACAGTACGTTCTCATCAATACTCTTAACTCTAGCATTAATGTTTCCAGAGCAAGGTTTCTATACGTCATGTTATTAGTTTTGATTGCTGCACATTTAATTGTCAGGCTGTTAAGAAACATTTGAATATTTTTGTCTTTACTTAGGAATGATGTTGAAGGTCTTTTTATTCTTCATCATTTTCATCATATATGTTTTTCTTTCCTAATATGTTCCCTATAAATTTGTGTGTGAAACAACAAATTTATTTTGAACTTTCCCCAAATATAATGAAGTTTCATATTTTTTTATTTGAAACACAATTTAATTTTGTTGGTTTTACATTACATGTTGAATATAGTATTTTATTTTTTACTTTCATTTTGTGGATATGTGCTACATTTTTCCAAATCTATTTGAAAATGTTAATAGCCAGTGGCTAGCGATTATTCATACCTCTCATAAATTCAATAATTTTGATTTATGAATATAATGTAGTATTTAATGGTTTGCATAGTTCTGAACAATACTAAAAGTGATCTACAATATATTATGGACTTAACAAAAATTTGAATTCCACATCACTGTTAGGAAATAGTATTTTATGGAAATAGAAAATAGAATTTTATGTTCAGCATGTTTTTTATAAAGGTAATTCGCAAATGTCTGAATGAATTTCTTATTCTGCATTGCGTTTTGGTTCACTTTTCCTCTAGATCATGAAAAATTTCATTTTGCAACTTGTAAAAAATGTGTTATTGCATAGCAATTTATATGAGAGTGCTGGATTGTAAAATCAAAGAGTAATCATCTGTGAAATAGTAATTTCAATTGTGTAATTATATTTCTTGTTCCATTTTATATTTCTAATTAAGGGATCTTCTGACTCTTATTTTTAAGAATTTCTTATATTATTAATTATCTTAAATTAGAGAGGATAAAGATTTGAGAGGGATAATTAAATATAATATTTAGAAATTTAAAAAAATGCTCTACATGAGTCCTTGTTAATGAGTTGCAAACAATCACAACATATATTAATAAGTTTTCAACACACCTGAAATGATCTTAGGCTAATTACCAGTTACCATTTTGCCGCATGTATGATATCGGTTGTAATAATTCATTTGTTTTAAAAATTGATGACTATCTAGAAATTCTAAGTAAAATTAATAAAAAAAGGAGAACAGAGTTTGCTTGATAAAAATTATCAGTGCATGGAGATTCCACTAATACATGCCTTCTCATTGTAGGGCAAATTTATGATATTAGGAAATGTTCATTCCTCACTACTCTCAAAATTGGAAGCTTACAACAAGAATTGAATCTTAAACATGAGTATTCATATGTTAGCCATTCTTCTTTGAAAAATTCTTGGAAGTCTTTTTAAGAAATCACAAAGAAAATATTAATTCATTTTTAGCATCTCTTATATACAACAATTAAAGAAAAAGTAATATTTTGTTATTTCATAAATACCCAAAGTACTTTTTGTTTTAAAATTAAAACCCATTGATAATTGTTAGTTTGATTGCAATTACCATTCTGCTAATGTGAATTTTGTCAAGTCATGTTTCTAACTGACTGGAGAGAGAGAGAGGACAAGATTGTTTCAACCGAATACTAATAAAATATTTTCAGACTTGATTTGCGATTCACCTGTAGCTTTATCCTTTGTTATAAATTAACGTATTTAATTAGGTGCATTGCACCAAGTACAATTATTTATTCCGTATCTATTTGTAGTTAGTGTGTCCTGCGTTCATGATTTTTATAGAACAGGTAGCTGGAGAGCTGCCCTGGTGAAATGTCGTAATTTTGTGTGTTAAGAAAGTATTAAATTTGTCAGGAAATTTAGAAATAAGTTTTCAAATCTGGTAATAGACTAGAATAGTTTAGAGTAGCATAGAATAATAATGTATAGCATGTGAAATACATTTGCGATTGCTTTTTTGATATGTTACTTGCTAATTTATTTTATTTACTTTCCAAAGAGTATTTAATGAAGAGAAAGTGATAGACGTTACTGTTAGCTGATGTAAATCTAAGAGTAGATTATATTAGACTAACGTTCAACATTATTGTCCATTTATTTACAAATATTACTATTGGTGAATGGATAACCTTCTGTAAGTGTAACTTAATTAGAGAAAACATTTATATATAATCTCGCACAATTCCATGTAGATGCACTGTTTTGTTCATGTTCTCTACAGTGCAGCATTATACATGGGTTGCAGTGCAGAACATTACTGTGTAAGAAATCTTGTTTCTAGATGAAGATAAAGCACTGCATGCTTGTTTTGTGTGTTGTCACTTCACGGCAACAAAGCTAGTATTTCTGTTTCTCTTATAGACAGTGAAAGCAACAAGTTTGTATTGCATGATTTATCTTGTCACCATGTGAAAAACATTTTATCTATATGACACAGTGGCAATGTAATGTTTTTATATATCTATCGCTGATAAGTATTTTCTCTCCTGTTCAACCAGAAAACTACAGGCTTGACACGAAGTATGAAAACCATCTTATCGTCAAAGTAGCATTGGTTTGTATTAAGCCTGCTTGACTATTTTTAGTCATATAGAATTGCACCGTTCTTTAACTTATTTTTGCCATTATTTCTCTCATAGTTTTAATGACGTGCCATCTAGTGTGTGGATATATTTTCTCACTATATGCATGGCAATTTTGTAGTATTTTATTTAGTAGATTCCTCTATATGTGCATATTAAATTAACTATTAGTATTCATATGTGGCAGTTATGGAAGTGGCTCAACTTCATATTTGTATTGTCTTTGTATTCTCCATAAAAAAGTGCCTTTTTTTATTTAACTGTATGTAGCATAAATAGCTTTTGCCCGAATTTATCAGCAGTGTATAATTCTTCAAGCGTATAGTGATGAAAGGCTATTTTTTAAACAAACAGAAATTGGAACTTAACATTAGAACTTAAATCATACATACACCAATAGATATTCAACGTATGCTATTTACACCATGGTAGTAGGTGTATTGACACGAGATATTACATTCATTTGATTCTTGATGCCCATTACACTGCTTGATCATAGTTCCACGGGCTAACGTTCACTTCTTCTACATTGATTAAGCAATATAGTGTACTCCAACATCTTTCTCTTGACGATGTGCAAGGAAGTATTTCCATGTGAATTATTCATTTGCAATTTCTGACTTAAAATATATGTATTTGCATGGTGGACTACTTGCTATATGTATTTGAGAATGTGGTTTCTCATTGAAACAATACAGAATGAATTGTTCAAGACTTCCACTAAAACAGGCAATAATTATTTCTAATTAAAATTCATTTTATGAAGAAATGTCTTTTTATTTATTTATTATTTATTTATTATTTATTTATTTATTATTTATTTATTTATTTATTTGTAAAAAATTAGCAGCAAAAATGTGATAATACACATACTGATGCCATTCTTTGTAATGTAGTCATTAGAGGCAGTGGAGAGGGAGCATGGTGGGAAAGAGTTAAAACCGACAACAGGCATGAGTGTTTTCATTGTGATATCGTGGCATGGTAGCCATTTCTCAGTTCCCTGTATGTCATCTCTAGGTGCAGTTTATACATTATCCTTTCCCAGTACCTGGTAGTGACATAGAAATTCTGAGACGGAACTGTAGGCTTCCTCCCTTTGACACTTAGAAGAACAGCTAGGAAGTGCACCCGGTGGAGTAAATTCATTTGAGGTGGCAGCTGCCCAGTGGGCGTCTCATAAATGTCTGTAGACATCTCTTGTTGGAGGTCATGGAATTAAATCCGTAGACAGTCACAATAACAAAGGTGGAAGTGTAGAGAAATTAGAAATATTGTACCCACATTCATAGTCAGTACACTATAATTTGTCAACATCAGTGGTAATATGAGTACTCAAACATAATACAAATATGTTACAATTATAATACAATCAAGTCATTGTCTGGATCATTGGTCCAATCTGCTTTTGAAGGTATCATGGTTTGTAGTTTCGAGAAATTTTGTTTAATTTTTGTGAAAGAATTCCTTTTTATCCAGTATCATTTCTCTCTCCATCTCTCCATTAAAATTGTGGATTAGTCAGCCTTTGTGAATATTAAAATATAGGAAGAACTGTGAAATTTTCCATAATTTTAATAAGGAAAGAAAGAATTATTGAATGGGTCGCTAGTTACCCAGCCATGGTTCTAGTAGGTTTGGGAAATATACAGCATTGTTTTTGTAAGAAATGGAAAAAGTTATTAGCATTCTCAGAATCTTTCTCAACAATATCCTTGTATTGCATTTTTGAAAAATTAAGTAAAACATCACCAAAACGTACTTACAGAATTTACTACATTTATTGCTTTAGTGGTCTCTACTTAGACAATATGATTTGGAAGACACAAGCATTTTATAAGAAATTCACTTTGTTAAGTTTCAGATGTTAATTTAAATTCTTCAAAACTAAAAATAGTCACACTTAGAAAGTTATGCAAAGATAGATAATTTCATTACAAATTTGTGCTTAACAGCAATTGACCACGTAGAGTTGCTACTAAAATGTATTAAACCTATACTCCATAGTACGCATGAAGATTAGAGACCAGTCAAGGAGGGCTATGAAGTTCTTACGGTTTCATTAATGACCATTGAGAATGTTTATTTGCAGAATAAAAAGTTTCATGTTCAGGTTATTATTAATGAGTAACTAGTGTTTCAATAATATAAGAGTGGATAAGAAAGTTGTGGAGGCTGGGTGGACATATTGAATTAGGCAATACCTGGGACACTGCATTTGTATTGTGAGGCAATATTGGGAATGAGAACTCAAGGAATGATTCTCATTGGAAGGACTCTTAAGCAATTTCAGAATTTCCAGGAATAGAGTGCAAAGGATGTATTTCCACCTCCTTGTCATCTGACATCCTGAAATGCCTGATTCCACCCGCACTAATGTGAGATGACTGACAGGAAGATCTATGATTTAATTGTAAGTTCTATGCTCATTTAATTATATTATATCAACTTTATCCAAGTTTTATTATTGACTGACTTTATGCCCTCGTAAAGTTTCTGTAGATGTTACCTTAAAATATAAAAAACAAAAAACAAAACAAAAAAAGTAAAGTTTATTATTTTTTTTATTTTTTTTTATTTTGCCCGATGTTTCAAGTCCATGGTTTAATCTGTTTGTGTGGAACAATTATATTTCTTGAATAGTTAACAAAAAATTGTTAAGCAGAAGAATACAAATTTTTACAGGGAAACAAATCACACGCCATGCAAAATAAAGAACAATTACTTTTCTCACAACAAAAGCTCTTTGAGGCTGATCCAACATTGCCAAATGAGATAATTGCATTGACTAAGTCTCTGAAATTCTTATTGGTGGCATGGCCAAGTATGCTCAGACTTTTTGCTTGTACACATCCAGTCAGAGAGGAATTAACAGTGAATTGAGGAAAGACAGAACGCCAAGGTGTGAGATGCCTCAGATCTTATAAAGATTTCTGCTTGAATTTGAGACAATTTTAGTTATTAATAAAGTTAGATAAAATGTTGTACATAAAGTTTTATATTTTTTTATTATGTTTCAGTTTAAGTATTTGTTGAGTATGTTTGAATTTGAGACCATTAAAAAAATGTGGTTTAATAGCTTTAATTTTAAGTTCCTTGGAACTTCAGCATGATAGACTATAGCTGCATGGTAAGAATGAAAAGAGGTCGGTTTCAAAGGCAAATATTTGTTTCTTCCCATAATGCTATAAAGTGTGTGCCACTTGCTCAAAAATAAGGAATCTTATGTTCTATATTATTTTCTTCCATTTCAATGTGAGTATTTATGTTTATAGTTTAAATTACTCCATTGTACTTATTATTGCTTCTAGAATTTGAACTAGTCATTTACCAGTTTGTGTGCAAAGGAGGAGTGATTTTTACAGGTCTTGGGTTAAAGTACATCAATTATAAAAATTTACTGATAATTCACTTCTAAGATTAGTATTTTTCTGAAGATGCTGAAATGGTAATACTCAAATAGCTTTTAACTCATAGAATATTTTGTGTGAAATTCTGGTGTATTTAATTTGCACAATATTAAAAATTATTAAAAAGTGTAAAAGTATTTTTTAAAGATTATTTCTTTTTAAAAGAGAAATAGATATTAAGATAATCAAAATACATGAATGTCTATGAAGTTAAATGTCAAAGCAAGAATGGTATTTTATTATTTTGTTTTTCATTTAATAAATAGAACAAAAAATAGTATATATTCAAGTAGAAAAGAGGTCTAATCAGAAAACATCCATCATGAAACATTTTTTCTTCCTCCTTTAAAGGATGTTTTCATGCCACTGAGATTGTTATATTGATTTTCAGCTCTTTTGTGTATCTTCAACTTAAATGCTTATGTAAGATGCTCTGCTTGCTTTTATCTTCTGTATATTTTTTTTATATAATGTTGATCTATGCTCTAATATATTTATTTTTAGTTTTTGCTATTGTAGAAGTTGTGCATATATGTGAAGCACAAGAAATATTGTTGTCTGCATGGGTGAGGGTCATGTGATGAAATTCTCAAAAATATTATTTCCCAGGACTGGCTCTTGGGTTTTGCCATCCCAAGAATACTTTTGTGTTTTCCATTTGACATCTACTATACGTACTGTACCTATTATGGAATGTTAATTGTAATCATCAATAATCTGATCTAAATAAAATATACCAGGTTTATTGAGAGATCATCAATAATCATAAGTGCAAAAAATAAAATATTTTACATGGAATTGATCTTATTGAATACATTACAGAATACCAAAAGTATAAGACTTCATGATGTCATTAATAGTTGGCAGAAAATAAAACACAAAAGCTATTTATGTAATAAATAGTGTGTGTTGTAATTAAATATTTTTTTTATATATAAGTAATGTTAGTGAGAAAGACATTAGATAAGCTACAACTCTAAAGAAGCTGATCAAAATTGACAGTCGTAAACCCAATCTCTCCCTACACTCAAGCCTTACATACAGCCTCTCCAGCATCCACACTTCTGAGCACAGCATATGGCTACTTGACTCAACTATACCACTCAACTGCAAAGTACAACACAAGGTTTAACACATCTTCTCGAGTCAGTTGTTGACTGGACCGTCTCAGTCAGTTTATGCTTGGATTTAGTAGGTAGGTCTTTGGGCAGAAATTCAAGAAAACTCTCATATAATTGTAATCCAGGTCAAGTCATTGAAACCCAGCTCTTTGAAAAAAAGGGCTTCCTTGACATTTTTGAAAAGAGACACACTCCAATTCAGTGTAGAGAAGGAGAGAGAGGAGAAGCTTTGCTGTTTGCAAGAGTCACAGAATGTTGCCTCTACCACGTCCAACAGAGATAAAAAGCCAGAGTAGTTTTGTCTTCAGAAATTACAAGCAAAGGAGATTCCAGAAAAGATATTGTTTCAAAGATTACACAAAGACATCAATCTGTTAGATGGTTAAACTCACAGCTCTGGGAAAAAGCAAATCTAGGTACTAAGAAAATACTTTTTTGTAT